TTTTATACTCGTCCCTGGCAATCTGATTTTGTTTCCATCTATTGTGTTCTTCCATCTTATATATAACATCAATGAGGAGCTCATGAAATAAATATCTTAATTGGTCTATTATGCATAGTAGCAATAATACAGTTTCAGATCTTGATAATATTTGCCTAAATTTCTGCCATGCAATAAGTGTCAGTTACTGAGACCCTTTATGATTCATCATTTTTGGAGATTTGACAAGGTGAATGTCTCGCTGAAGGACTCGCTTCTGTTTCTTCATAGTCCCTCTCACTGTAGAATAATAAGGCTATCCAAAATGCAAATACCTACCTGAAAGTTCCTTCTTACGTTTAGAAGCAGGGCCATCTGTGATTTAGTTTCCTGTTCTGCACAGATAGATCCCTGCTAGTGCTGTCTAAAGAAGGACTAGATGTGATATTTGTACCACATATATTAATATCCAATGTTTCATAATTAAGACAATACAATTTGCTAATAACAACAGTAATACAGCCTACGAGCTGACTTCAGTTTGTAGTTCAGATCTAGATCCGTATTTGAACTGCCAAGATTCAGTGTGGTAAGATGATCTGCAATGGTGTTATGCTAATGATGATCATCTGCAACTCCCACTGAGGTGAGCATAGTGGCTTACATCAAGCGCTGTAATTCAGCATCTCATTGCATATGAAAACGAAAGAGATTAATGCATTTGTACTTAACATATTTTTGCATCAGTGAAGTGAAGGTGCGGTGACAAGACAACTCTCTAAACCCAATTAGCTAAAGTGAATCCCAAAGCTCTAGTCCTATCTTGTTTGAGAAATGTCACTTAACATTGTAACATGTGTTACCAGGAAACGTACTGCTTGAGCATGTCAAGACCCTTCAAAGACCCAATGCGCAGATAACCCGGAGATACTCTGCCAGAAGACATGTGAAGGGAAATGTAAGACAAGTTAAGAGCATGCATTTGTAGAGTTTTAAATTAATGTAGCTCATCAAAATCATATAAGAAAAATCCCTTTAAAAATGAAAATAAAAAGAATATGACCTTAGATGACTAATTTCATTAGTTTGACTAATGTTTGTTCAGGATTTTGAAGATTTAAAGCACCATATGAGACAAAGTATTCTTTTAGACTGCTGCAGGGTTGGATAAATGATCTCACATTTCTCACCTGCCTACACTCTATGTTTCCACCCCCTCTGCTCACAATCTGGGTTTTGCTACTCTCCCTGCCCTAATGTCTCAGTATGTTCTGACTCCTCCCTCTTAGTGCCAAGACGTACTGAGAAATGTGCTAGAAATAAAGGCAGAGGCAGATTCATGTTTACTTTGTACACATAGTCAGACATTATGTAATTTTGATGGATCCTTATATATACACAAAAAAGGCACTTTTGTGGGGAAATGGAAATATATATTAATTTTTAAGTTCAGTGTTCATGATATTGAGCTGGAACCTGTGCTTGGATATTGCCTTGGAAAGTGGTTAATGCCCAAAGCAAAGACTGAAACAGTTCTTTGTACAAACAGGAAGGTTTGTAGCAGGGGTTTCCTGGTGTTCCTGCACATTATTGTTAAATGTTAAATGAGCAGGAGTATGCTGCTCGATACCTCTTAGTAAGTCCTCATTCTCATAGGGAAAAGAATTCCTGCAAGGCCCCATAATTTGGCTAACTACTCAGGCCTAACATTGAATCCTTGGAGACATCATGAAGAGGCCTTCATTCTGCAGCAAACAGATTGGCACTGCAGTGATGATAATTGTAATTATCATGAGCATAATAAATAAATGGCAATGCATTTTGCTAGCTTTCGGAGCTTGAGTAATCTGGCAAACAGCTTGCTGCACTCTATCACACAATAATGATATTCACTACCAGCCCAGGAAGTTTACCTAGGGGCTGTGACTCATATTTGTTTTGAAAGGCACAGCATTAAAGGCCTGTGAATTATGTCTGTTGTGAAGAACACTGCATTTAAGTAATTACAAATGCAAACCTAAAACAAATCCACAAGGCAAAAAAATGCTAATTGGTCACAGTTCCACACACTTTAAGTCTTTATTTTTCTTTATAAAAGATGTTGCCATTTGAGTGGATTTCATGGGACGATTTAATTTCTGTTGCATTGGTACTGCACATCTACTGGCACACATGTGTGACCTTGTGCCCTTACTAGAGCAGATGGGTGTCTGTCACCTTCTTCACTGCCCTTCCTGTTGGAACATGGTGGGGAATGAATGTGCTCATGGAACCCAGGGAAAGGTGGGACACTAGGTGAAAAGGTCCTGGTCAACACGGGGAGCAAATCTTTCAGATCTATTATCTTACCATCCATTTAAAAAACTGTTTAAGAGTCCTCAGGATTCAAAATGGATCATGCTTGAGGTTGATCTGCGTGAGGGTAGTAAGGTTCTACAGAGGGACCTGAACAGGCTGAACTGATGAGCTGAGGCCAATTGTATGATTTTCAACAAGGTTCTGTGCTGGCTCCTGCACTTGGGTCACAACAGCCCCATGCTGGGGAGGAGTGGCTGGAGAGCTGCCTGGCAGAAAAGCACCTGAGGGTGTTGGCCAACAGCAGGCTGAACATGAGCCAACAGCATGCCCAGGAAGCCAAGGAAGCCAACAGGATCCTGTCTTGTATCAGAAATAGCATGGCCAGCAGGGGCAGGGAAGTGATTGTCCCCCTGTACCTGGCACTGACGAGGCTACATTTACTTAGAACGTCTGTTCCCTCCAACACAGACATTGAGGTGTTGGAGCATGTCCAAAGAAGGGCAACGAAGCTAGTGAAGGGTCTGAAACACAGTCTTGTGAGGAGTGGCTGAGGGAACTGCGGTTGTTTAGACTGGACAAAAGGAGGATCAAGAAAGACCTTATCACTCTCCATAACTACCTGAAAGGAGGTTGTGACAACTTGGGAATCAGTCTTTTCTCCTAAATAACAAGAGATGAGAGAAAATAGCCTTAAGTTGCACCAGAGGAGGTTTAAGTTGGATATTAGGAAAAAATTATTCACAGAAAGGGTTGTCAAACATTGGAATAGGCTGCCCAGGGAACTGGTTGAGTCACCATTCCTGGAGCTGTTTAAAAGATGTGTAGATGTAGTTCTTAGGGACATGGTTTAGTGGTGGACTTGGCAGTGCTCAGTTAATGGTTGGACTCAATGATCTCAAAGGCCTATTTGAAGCTTAAATATTCTATGATTCTACGCAAGAGCAAGGCTGGAGGACTAGTCCAGGGGCTTGGCTGGAGTGCTTCTGTTATGGAGATAGATTTTGTCATCAGAACCCCAGATCACTTCCTACAGTATATCCTCATCTTCATCCCTGCTTCCCTCCAGAAGCCTTTATTTCCAAGAAACACAACTATGCCAGTTTGATTGTGACAACTTCTGAGTTTGTTTACAGCCAAAAGCCAATCTTCATTGCCTTCTCCCCAGTGTGCTTTGCAACAGCAGCCATCCTACACCCTGGCATGAGGGACTTCCTCCAAAATCACATAAATTTGTTCTATAAGAGAAATTTCATTTGCCAGGCCTGATGACAGCTCATCAGCTGCAGTGGGGTAGGTTTCTGAAGTACAGACCTTTCACTGCTGCAGACAGTCCACCACAAATCTGCCAGGCTTACTCGCTCAGCATAAGGGTGTTATGTACCCAATTCTGTAATTCTGAAAATATGCAGCCTTTTATGTGTGAAGTCCTAATACTTTAAAATTAACAACAAGAGGGAAATAGTTAAGGGACTAGAGCATCTTTCATAAGAGGAGAGACTGAGAGTGCTGGGACTGGAGAGTTCAGCCAAAAACGAGCAGGATTTGGGGGGGTAATCTTATAAATCAATAAATACCTGATGGGAGGAGATGCAGAAGACGGAGCCAGGATTTACCTGATGGGAGGGATTGCAGAAGATGGAGCCAGGATTTTCTTGGTGGTGCTCAGTGACAGGACAAGAGGCAATGGGCACAAATAAAAACACATGAAATTCTAGCTGAACATAATAAACCACTTTTTCCTGGAAGGGTAGTAAAACATTGGCACAGGTTGCCCAGAGAGGCTGTGGAGTCTTCTTGGAGGTATTAAAAAAACTGATTGGACACTGTTCTGTGCAATCTTGTCTTGGTGACCCTGCTTGCACAGGCAGGTTGGACTAGGTGATCTCAAGAGGTCCCTTCAAATCAAAACAATTCTATGCTTTTTGTGAAAATAGGAATAATTGCCTAAAATCTTCTGGAATGACTCATACTTCTGAGAGTGGTTTCTTGAGTGACACAAGCCAATCTAAGTCCAGGCTGCTTATAGTCCTGTTCCACTTCCTGGTACTGGGTATATGTTTCTAGGAGTCTTTAAAGGCTGTGAGAATTAGCACTGATTCTAAGGCTTTTCAGCCTTTTAGGATCACTGTGACTTACTTTCACTATAGCACCACAGTTGCTCTGACTCTGGGAGCTAACCACTGAGTGAGCCTGAATCTGGGTGAGGCTTTGCCCTGACCTGCTACTTGGGCAGAGACAGTATGTCGTGGAAGGCAAGCTAATTTCTGGGGATACAGTGGGGAGAAGATGTTATTATCTAAGAAATTACATGTGTTTCTGTTTTAAAGAGATACATTATTATAGAAATAACAAATAATTAATAAGAAACAATAAACAGTTTCTCCTGTTGTTTATTTCATCTCACCTGTAGGCAACTTTATCAGCTTCTAGAAAAAAAAAAAGGCCATCTTTGTGCTCAGAGGATTTCCAGTGCCAGTGTTCTGCTTTTTTCATTCTGTGGCAAGTACATGTAGAGCCCTTAAAATAAGGTGCAGAATCTGAAAACATATTCATATCACAGATGACTAGTTAGTCAAATATTATGAATGATGTCTTAAGAAGAATTCTTTAGAATAGACTCTGATAACCAAGAGAAAAAAATACGATTTTGAGTCTTTGTTTATTTTTTTTAAATTTAAAATTACTCCTTGTAACATGTAGTATATATAGGCCACTGAGAAATTTAATTTCACTTTTGCTTCTGATCCTGCAAACAATTGGGGAGGTGCTTAGCAGCTTTGCTAAATGAGGAACAGAGCAAAGAATAAACTGCAGCTCCAGTCATTTGTGTGCTGAACTGCAGGTTTCAGTGGTGTGATCCCTTGGAGATGTGGTGGGTGAGGTGTCATGGCAGCGTGATGCCTGATGCATGGGCTCGCTCCAGCAGCTTTCCCTTCCTGATCTGTGCTCTTCTACTTCATACCATGCCATCCAGCATGTCTGGGGTTCAAGTGGAGAGGCTGTTAGGTACATGACTTTGCAGACAAACTGGGAGATGTATTTTTTATCAGCAAACCCTGTTACCTCTGCCAGCTTTCTAGTTTCTCACCCAAGTGTTGTTTAGAGTTACTGGCAACCTTTGCTATTGCCAAGCTTTTAGTCAAGATGAGTCAAGCTAAAATAGGCATCGAAGAGTAATGCATAAAACTTGGGAAAACAAATTAAAAATCTTTCACATGTGCCTTCTAGCTTCTGAGTTATTCACAGCACATTTGTTCGGTGCTTCTCTGCAAACTTTGAGGACAAAAATTGTTTTGAAAAAACAAGTTAAGGTAGTGATATGGTTGCTTGCCTCCAGGACTTGAGATGTGATGGAAAACACCAAGGCTGACCAGGACAAGCTGAAAACTGCTGATGATACTGGGTGCCCCAAAAATCAGTTGTAGCTCTTCACAATAGCTCTGGCATTGTCAACAGCCTTCTAACAAGAAGGGCAGCCCATGACCTCTTCTTCTTCTGTGTCTTCTCCATATCTTGAGGTCTCAGGTGTTTTGTTCCCTTCCTGAATGAAGAAAAAGACTCAGAAATTCACTTCCATTTTTTGTTCTTTCACACGTATGACATTATTGTTTTCTACTTCATGAAAAAAAATTAACTTGGTGTCACATCTTTGGTCAGCATTAATTAGATGTCCAGTATTTAGCATGTGTAACCCTTCCATCTGTCAGAGAGGCTGGCATGATTATATAGGAATGTTTTCAGGAGCATGATGCGTTATTGATGTGTATCTTTCATGTGTCATATTCATTATGCCTACTGCATTATCTGTAGAATATATTCCATTAATTTTTACTATATGCATTTAATATTACATATTTTGAACATTTTAAAGTTGCACAGGTTATGTATTGCAGTAACAGTAACCACTGAAATTTCACACAGCAATTATGAATTTTCTCTTGTAACCAAGGAATGCTATGTGCTTAAGTATAGTGAAAGTGAAGTAATGTGTACTAAAAGCAATAGTTCAAAAATACACTGTAGCTTATAGGGTGGTAGTTCAACAGTAATCTTTTGCACCATCAATGGGATATGTTTTGATTCACAGTTTCATTATGCCTCTGTCAAAGGCTTGGCTCAGAAGAGCCATGGTTGATCCCCATGAAAAATAGATGATTGGATTTTACTCTCATTATCCTGCCTTTAGATGTATGGAAGTGTGCTTTAAAAATAGGATTCTAGCAAAGGAGAAGGGAGAAAGAATGAAATTTAAAAAAATCTTTAAGCATCAGAAATCAGAAAGAGCAGGCTAGCCAATATCTGCCTCTGAAGAAGTTGATGCTAGCCAGTGTCAGAGCCAAGAGGATGAAAGAGGAGGGCTTTGGATCTTATCAAATATGGCAGTTCCTTCTTTTAAAAGAATTACCAGATGGGGAAAAAAGATCTCAAACAACCCTAAAGCATTTGGGTAAATAAAACTTAGAGTGGAAATGGTGCAGACCAGAGGAGAGGCCAGAGAAGGAAAGGAGGATTGGTTTGGGGAAGGGATTAAAGGAGGACAACTTGTCATAACCTGCTCATATATATATAAAAAAGGGACAAACTCAAGATGACAGCTGATAAACATGATGCATGCCAGTAGTTTTTGCTTTGTTGGCAAAACAAGAACTGAGACTTTTAATGAACGTTCACTGTGTACTTTTAACAAGGAAGTTGCAACTACAGGAAGAAGCTAATGATAAGTTAATTTTTAGAAACCGTACTTGGTTTAAGCCTAGAAACTTTAAGAAATTTTAAACTGGCTCATTTGATATTGACTCCAAGAAGACTCTTGGAAATCATTTTGCTTTGAGTGTGACAAAAATTAAAACACAGTGTAGTGGTGTAATTCAACACTATTTCCAGGTAGAATAGTCTCCAACATCATAGTTTTTAATAAAGCAAGAAGTCATTTTTGACATGATTTACTCTCATTCCTGAGTGGCTCTGCCTGCACCTTTGATTAAAAAAAAATAGAAGAATAAAAAGTTATGACAGTACAAAGGCAGCAGTAAGCTGAGTTAAAATGGTCCTTGCTCATGGGCCATGGGGGTAATGCAGGTAATAAGCGTTTTCTCCAGGAATCTGTTCTTGGTTCAGTGCTGATTAGTATCAGAGCTAATCACAATAAATCCCAGGTGATGACACAGACAAATAAACAGGAAAGAGAACTAGTTACTGACAACAAACTCGCCTTGATCTCTTGAGGAGCTGGGTTCATCTGAATAACATGCATTTTACTAATGTGGCATTCGGGGACAAAGAAAAGAGGTCTCACCTGTAAAATGGGGTAGTGCAATTCCAAGGCAGTAGATCTGCAAAGGAGGCAGAGGCAATAGCAGGTGATCAATCAAGCATGAGCTCTAGTGCAGTGGCATAGCTAAATAGCAATGAGAAAAGGAGGCAGGGGGCAGTACTTCAGCTTATTAGTGACATCACTCCAGGAATGCCATCTGTTTGGGTGTCAACTCTTTAACAAAAGGATGTTCAAAAGTTAGAAGTGATGAACCATGTTATGTCTGAACAATTTGCCTTAGAAAGCTGTAGCTCAAATATTAGCCAAGAAAATAACAAAAAAAAAATCACATTTAAAGTATCAAATACGTCAATCTGTCAAAGGCTGCTATGTAAAACGACCTGAAGTTTCAACGACACAGAATTTCTGCAGCTACTGTTAGCATAAAAAAGGTTTGCAGGTGCTCCACACCTCTCAGAACATTACTATTTAGGAGCTTAGACATGAAGCTAGGAACATTACTTTTATTGACTGGTTCTAAAATTCTCTTTTGGAGTCTGGGAATATCAACAGCAAGCTGGTTTTGTCTCACATCTTGAAGCCATGTCTTCCTCCCAGCCCAGACAGAATCTGCCTCTGTTTTTCAGCTGCAGGGAAGACATCTCCCTAGGTGTGTGGCATCCTGTAAGTCATCCTTGCCTTAGCTGTGTGCATCTTTAGCCCTATTAGACAGAATAACTTATTTATTTTCTCAAAAAGCCAAGCATCAGTTCCAGCAGAGCAATCTGCGTCCTGTGCCAGTCTTCCTAGCTAATCTGAGTGATGGTATTGCAGACTTTACTTTGCCCAAGCCTGGAGTTTTCATCTAAATATTCCTCATTTTGGGGAAATGATTATTTAGCTAGGGATCCCAAGTTAACATCTTGGAGATATACTTTGTCAGGATATTAAATCCTTTTTCTTAATGGCAGGATAACAAATAAAAGTGTGTTTTCTCCCCTGTTAGCACTAGCCAATCAGGCAAGGAAAAATGTCAAGTTTTTGGCTGTATTTCACATGGAAGTTCAGTAGAGCTTTAAAATCATTCCTTCAGGTACATTTACCAGTATCTCTTCAAGGAACTGTACACAAATATTGTGGGTACATTGGCATGTTCTCCTGAAATTCTACCACTGCTTTTGAGGAAAATGCATCACAGAAATATTTCAGGTATTGTGCTGCCCATGAATCATGCAGAGTTCTCTCACTCCAGTAACATTTTCTTTTGAACAGTGTTTTTTTTCCTACAGTCTGGAACCGTAAGTGTTTTTTGGACTTCCTGGTAACAGAACATCTGCTCTTAAAATAGAGGACCTGGCAGCAGAAGTATGCATTGAGCTCTCCCATGCAGCAGCACCTTGGGCAGGCAGACGAGGGCAGTGGCAGGGCTGGGACCATGCCTGGGGGTGAAACATATTTTCCTGCTCTACAGAGCAGGGGTTATAAGAAAGACAAGCACCAAAGGAGATAGAGAAGTCTTTTACTCAGCTGCTTAGGGTAGGGTTGTGTCAGGGGTTATCATGCACAAGGGAAATAAACTACATGATGCAGAAGAGGCTGCAGGATTTGCCACCCACTTTGGACCTCTGTCACTACAGTGTCACTGATGGTCCCAGTTGGGGCACACTGAGGAAAACCAAACAAAACCCAAGGGAGATTGTTAATGAACCACTTGAAGGGAATGAAAGAATTGCTAATAAAAGAATGAATGTTTAGTAGCAGATCTGTAAAAGGGGAAAAGAAGTCTTAGCAGATCAAAACCAAGACATGATCTCAGGTTAGATAGTAATTTTGGAGGCTTTTAATATTTTTCCTTATACAATGCTTTTGGAGAGAAAATACCTTGTTTTCATGCAATTTTTAATTTCCTTCACAAAGTTGTAGGTTTTTCTGAGAACTCTAATTAAAGGAAAGTCTTCTCTGCAAAGCTTTCTGTTTTCAACACTGAAAGCTTTCCTTGTTGATAAAGGAGGGAGGGTGAACATGAGATGAAGAAAAGCTCAACTCCCTTAAACGTTTTCATGCATCAAACTGTATCCACAACACCCACAAAACAACCATTTATTCTAGGTGATTATAAAGAAAATCCTGTTCTCCTTCCTTACCCTCTCCCAGTTTCCAAAAGCAAACCTGTACTACTACGGGATGAACCATTTGGATAGTATGAATATGATAAAGCTGTAGAGGGAGCAACACTGCAGAGTGTTCTCCAGGGAAAGGGAGAGCATTGAGGGCAGAGAAACACTCATCATCAACATCGACTGCTACTGAGGAGAGAGAAATAGAGTTGTCTAGGAAGGAAAGAAACAAGGTGGGGGCTGGAGTCTGGGAGAAGAGAGCAGTGGGGCTTAAACCTGAGGAAATCAAGAAGAGTATAGGGGTTGTATCCCAACGGGAGTAGATGTTTCATTTAGCTGTAGCTAGCTCTTTTTTAAGAGATGAAGAAATTAAATCCAAATGTTGCTTTTTGTTAGCTGAGCTCCACCGTGAGACACTTTCTAATAATTTTGTTTATGAATAAATACTTTTCAGAACTGATGTTTTTCAAATCTCCTTCAAATACACTGGTTGCTCTCCAACCCCTCCAGGAAATCCTGAATGGATACTTAATGTCTGCCTGGCTGCTAGCAGGCAAGTGATTGTGCTGAACACATTTTTCAGATGAGGAGCTATCACGGGGATACTA